TGATCTTCTTACTCATTGCTTCCCAACCTGTCACCTTTGCTTGAAAAATTCTAGTATTCCTTTTTTCCATACATGGTATACTGTTGTTGCTACTGCCATTTTATACAACTCTGCAGCAGCTGTATTTCTTTTAGTCTTCTTTTCAGCCCATCGTAGTTCCTCATCCCAACCAGCTACAGGTCTTCTAATTCCTTGCCATGTTAACAGCGCGCTCCACAATGCTTTCGCATATGTGCATTCAAAAAATAAGTGTTGTATAGTTTCATTGGCTTGGTTGCACAATACACACTTCTGATCCACCTGTAATCCCCACTTTTGCAATCTATCCTTTGTGTATAGCTTCCCATGAGCTGCCACAGTTAGAATAAATGTCCATCGTGGGCATCCTGTATTANAGACTATCCTTCTCCAACTAACTTTTTCAAATCTTCCACGCAACCTGTGATATATGTTTTTGATTGAGCAACTTTGCATATTCATGATGTCTTCATAGCTGAGTCCTGCATCCATGAATGTCTCCTTTGCTTTTAAGATCTTATTCACTATCCACGATGCTTGTTTTAGTTGAATATCCCATATGTGTCTTCCTTTGATGTAGTAGCTATGTATCCACTGGATCCACAGTTCTTTTTCTCCTTGCACAAATTCCAGAATTGCTTACAGATGGCAGCCTTGTTCCACACAGCTATATTCATAATGTTGAAGCCTCCTGCAGATTTAGGCAAGCAGACTTTCTCCCATGCCAGTAGAGCCTTCTTCGATATACTTCCTTCGCCAGTCCACAAAAAACTTCTACACATTGCTTCAATTAACTTTGTAATCTTTTTAGGCAACATAAAAACTTATGCCCAGTATGTCTGTATAGAGAACATCACACTTTTTATCAGTTGGACTCTGCCATCATAAGATAGAAATTTGGCAGTCCATGACTTTATTCTTCCCATTATCTTGTCGATTAGAGGTTGGCACTGGGCTGTGGATACTCTTTTTTAACTTAGTGGGGCACCTAGGTACCTTACTGGCAGCTTATCCTTTTGAATTCCTAGAAACTCTAGGATTTCCTCCTGATCAGCTTGTGATACTCCACCAAAGAAGATGGAACTCTTGTGTTTATTGATCATCAGGCCAGAAGCATTTGAGAACTCCATGAAGCATTGGAACAAGAGCTTTATTGAGCCTATATCACCCCTGCAAAACAATAAAAGGTCATCAGCAAATCCAAGCTGCAAGATTTTCATCTTTGCACACTTAGGATGGTAGTTGAAATCTGGTATCTGGTTCAGTGTTTTGAGGTTTCTTGTTAAGTACTCCATTGCCAGCACAAACAAAAATGGAGACATAGGGTCTCCTTGCCTTAACCCCTTCTTGGCCTCAAATGGTTTTGTCAGGTGTCACACCTCCTTTTTCCGCTCCCGGGGGCGCAGGGGAGTTTTTTCCAATTAAAGGACAATCGAAATGGGATTTATTTGTTTAT